AGCCACTGGCCCCTTCGGGCCCCCAGCGCCTTCTGAGAGTCGGGCACTGGCCTGGCGATGGCTTTGATCTGAACTTCGCCACCCCAAACCAAACACATCACCCAAACTGCCCCCACCCCTGCCTTCCTCCTCTGCTAACTACTCAGGAATTTTTTCCCCATGTAAATGTCCAGGAGCCCGGGCTGCCCATAACCAGCGACAGCGTTCTCAGTGGGCCTCCTACAGCACCGCAACAGTTACTGAGGACCAGGAAAGCAAAGCAGCACCGTCCTCAGGATCTCCCGATTCTCGTGGCCTGGATGCAGGGCCTCAGCCGAGGCGCCGCACGGCACCTGTGAGCACAGTACCTGGGCAGTGCTGTCCTTGGACTGGACTAAGGAAGCGGGTCTGCTCTGCGCCGACAGCACCCCGGTCCTGAGGACACAGCACAGCCCCACCAGCACAGAGCCAAGGGGCTCCAACTGCACAGGGTTGGGCACCCCAACCCCCACGCTGTCCAAGGCCAACTGTACGTCTGAAGAAGAGGTTTATTCATTAACAGTTCAGTCCTTCACTCGCACTACTGCCGGTGGCAGCAGGAAGCCACCTTGGCCTGCAGTGCATTGTGGGCAGGCCAGGGCCACAGATGTCGCCCCACCCCAGGCCCCCTGCAAGGCCCACAGTGAGCTCTGGGCGTCTCCCTGGCTCCCGTGTTCAGGCCCTGACTCAGGGACACCCTGTTCAACAGCATGTCCTGTGATGGGCACGTCACACATCTGCCCTCCTCAAACAGAAGCCAACTGTCACAAGGGGCTGCTGAGCACCTAAAAAGTGGCTAATGTGACCGAAGAACATGTAACTTGTGACTCCTCAAAAACTTTACTGCTAATCATCTACTGACACCATCATGCGTGTTATATGTGTGATATGCTACATTCTCACAACGAAGTGTGCCAGTGGAAAGAAAACGGTACCAAGAAAATCAGAAGAAAGAGAAAACACATTTACAGCACTGTATGTATTTACTGAAAAAAATCTACAAGTGGACCCACACAGCTAAAACTCATGTTCAAGGGCAACTGTAATTAATTCACATAATTACTTTTAATTTTCATTAAATTTAAATTTTAAATAGCCGTGCTACAAGCTTCCACTGTGGGCCTCACGGCTCGAGAGAGTGAACGTGGGAAGATGTGGTGCCCAGAAACTCTTCCGAGTAACTCAACACGTGACTGCAGAGAAAGTCACCTCGGCGACATGAGACAACACACGTGAGAGCTCAGTCTCTAGAGTCGGGCGCAGCTTGGAACCCCGGCCCTAAGGGTGTGGCTGCGGGTGGCTCAGCGTCCCCAAGGCCCGCCAGATGGGCAGTGTGACAGGGATGACTGAGCCATAGCACTGGGCAGAGCCTGCCCACAGACCCCCAGTTGTCGCCCTTTGCAAAGCAGGCAAGTGATACTGCTCCAGGCTCTCACAAAAAGGACCGATTGAGAGGACAATTCATCAATACATCTCCTGTTTCCTGATGAGACAAACGGAAGTTTGCTCCGAAACAGTGTAGGGCCTGAGCATCCCCAGGAGGCCCCTTCATGCCACTGCCTCTGCCAAATCCACGTGACGAAACAGAAATCTTTGTGTGCACCATTTGCTTTTTTTCTTTCAGGAAAAATCATTTGCACAGTGTTAAAGAGAAGTTATCAAATGGCTTATGCCTTCAATCTAGTCTCCAAGGACCACGTGGCTGCTTCTGCAAGGCCTGAAGACATGCAGATACTGTCATAAGGGCCAGGTGGCATATAACGGAGAAACACGTCACTGTGCTAAAGGTTTTGTCTTCTCTGAGACATTTAATTCATCTAACTTTCACCACTGAGGTATTCACAGTCACAGACCTACAATCACAGTACAGAGGTAAGAACACTGCATTACCAAACTGCAGTGCCCTACACCAGTGGTCCCCAACCTTTGTGGCACCAGGGACCGGTACTCCTACGAGCATCTAATGCCTGACGACCCAAGGCGGAGCTGAGGCGGTGATGCTGGCACTGGGGAGCAGCTGCAGATACAGATGAAGCTTCGCTCGCTGGCCTGCCGCTCCCTTCCTGCTGTGCGGCCCGGTTCCTATCAGGCCACGGATTGGTACCAGTCCACAGCCCGGGGTTGGGGACCCCTGCTCTAGGACACACCCCCAACGACTGCATAAATGTTTATAAAATGTCACTTTACTTGGGATGCTAGATGAGGCAGAGCCAGGAACAGGGCTTCACTAGAACTTCTGACTCGTCTGGATCAACATCATCAACAGATTTTACCAACAGAGGACACATCCACGTACAGCACACCCACGTGGAAGAATTCCTAGGTGTGGGTGTTGAAAGTCTGTACCTGAGGCATCAGGTTGCACAACCCTCCAAATGACAGGAATCGTGACTCATGTCATGTCATCCAAGAGGGTTCCTGGAATGAAATGCTACCTAGGAACCAAATGCCACAAGCTACTTGATTTCTAAATGACTGACTTTCTGTCTACAGGGAGGTGGCACTGACCCAGCTTAGACAGGTTCTGTGACCACGTGAGAGGTTCAGTCTGGGGAGAGAGGCTCACGGTGGAATTTCCCCTCCTTGGCGCCCCTGTCCGTGTCCTCCTGAGACTGCTGGGGAGCAGCACAGAGCACGTCCCCACTCCACTGCGCGAGCTCGGGCCGCCTCTCCCACCACTCAGCTTACCCCCCACTCTAAGTTACACACTTTGCAAACAAAAATTCAGTTCTCTTTACCTCAGGCTCCAAAATACAAACAGAATTTCTAACAATTTCATCAAATTATCAAGCAGCAGTTTGTAATCTGGACCAAAATCTGATGCAAAATCCACAGCTAATTTGGGCTGATTACGTTACAGAAGGAACAGGTGAAAACTTCAACTTATCTGTGTATATTGTTTATGGGATCAATTTCATAAACAAACAACTATTCACACTATGAGTGTCCTCCATCGAGTGTAAATTAATTTGCTTCTCTGACAAAAGACTTTTTCCTTTTCCAGTATGAATTTTATCTCTATGGCCTTAGGAGTAAATCTCTTAGATCTGCATTCTCCTGAGTATATCTCTCTGCCCTCTCTCCACTGCCGACCTGGGGAGCCCGCCTGGAGGAAAGCAGCAGCGCACCAGGGGTGGGCCTGGGATCACATCGCGTCTCTTGCTAACACAGGCCGTCCCCTAGATTACCGTCGGGTTGACGAACCCAGCACATTAAGGGTGCAGACTGTGTCTGCCACAGAATGGGCTTCTGCAAACGGGACCCCCCACCTGTGATGTGGCTCGCCACGGGGACAGCTCAGAACAGCTTCTCCAAAACACGCAGGCGCAAAGATGCCATGGGGTTGCCTAGACATCTGCATTTCACTAGGATTCCATGGACACAAAAGTGGGACCTCACCTGAACTGAGTGATAAGCTGCTGGAGACCCAGGTGGACAGCCTGAGCGCACAGAGCCCAGGGCTATCCCCACGCCCAGAGCCTTGCAGCCCTCTCCAGAGTGCTCAGGACAGGTGGTGGAGACACAAGGCCTAGGGAGCACCAGCCACATCTGCAGGAGCATGAAGCAGAGAGGCCAGATCCCCTCCAGAACTACCTCAGGAGGGCAGCTGCCCCTGGGGGCCCTCAAAGCACAGGGGAACTCGCTGCCCCAGGGAAGGGAAAGAAAAATGCCCCCTTGGGGAGGGGCAGATGGAGACGTTATTTCAGGGTTCTGTTAGCAATGCCTTCCTGGGACATCTGCCAGGACAGAAACGCAGCTGTGACTCTGGCTCTAGGGATCTGACCAACCGAGCGGATCCTGCAGTGTCTCCTCTTCCCTCCTCCTCCCATCACTTCCCCCTTGTCCTGCCCCCTCAAAAACGAAAGTACTTCCGCCAGCCAAAAAGCAGAAGGCTGCTATCATTGCTCCAACACAGCTCTGCATTTGAGGTCCCTTTGATGAGATACCCAATGTTGACTCAGAATTACGGTGGTTTAGAATACCTCTTACCACATTAAAATAAATCTCATGTTCTAACTGCACTTTGCTGGGTGACCGGCCTTCCAATTCAGGGTGGGAATATTAAACTCAATTAAGTTCAACACATAAGCATTTATTAAATTGCTAGACCAGGGAGACAGGGGACAGAAAGACAGTGAACTAGACCTCAAAACCCTGGGACCTTCTCACCTTAAATTCCAGAACACAATTTTCTAGAAGTACCTAAGATTGTTACCCAACTTCAGCCAACGATTACAATATCTAAATTCGTTTTTACTTTATTCCAATTCTAAACATCAAAGCATCACTATTCACCAACTATTCCATCTGGAACACCAAACAGACTGAGAGCAATGGCTCCAGTAAGAATGGGGCACAGGGGCACCCCAAGGGGCCTAGAGAGTCTCTACACAAAGCGCCAACAAGTGGGGAGTCAGAACAAGACAAGAGACACACGACATAAGACGATAAAATGAGACTGGCAAGGCCTCAGATAGGTCCGTTCTGAGAAGGGTCATCATGGCTGGGGATACCTGACAGGGGAGTCGGGCCAAAGTTAATGTGGCGGCTTCTCACTCCAACCAAAATCTCGCGACCTTCATAAAAGTTGGGGTGGGGGTGTCAAACCAGAACTGCTGTGGGACACTGAGGCTGGAAATGAAGAGAAGAGGGACACGGCTGCACAGACCAGAGGGAGGACACAGACTCCGAGGGCAGCAGTAGCCAGCCGTGCCACACTTATGCCACCATCAGCTTCAACGGGAGGAAGCTCACATGGGCCAGACCATGCTGCCATGGTGAGTGGGTTTCACACGAACAGGTTGTAAAGTCATAAAAAACCCTTCCTCTGTTTACTAGCGCACAATATCCAAGGAACAGATCTGGACAACCAAGCCAAAGCGGCACTCCAATCCCCGCTCTGCCACACAGCCCGCCACTCGGGTGATGTGCACACACATTCCCACGTGCGTGAGCAGAACTTGCACACCCGTCCCCTCTCAGGGCTTCTCCAGCTCCCAGGTGAGGCCCGTGCTGCCTATCAGGGCCTGAGCCTTCTGCAAGTCACAGAGTATAGATGGGCTCCCCTGCATCGCCATTAGCCCTCGATCCCTAAGGCTGAAAGCGGCCTGACTCACATCGAAGCTCTCCTTTCCTCCCCGTCACCAAATCACAAAGGAAATGCTACCAAGTGGGACGATGAGACCAAAGACAGAATGTACCACTCCCTGTGCGGCAGCCACAGTCCTGGCCCCTCAGTCCCTGTGCACAGATCCGTCTCGGGAGTCAGAGGCTTAAACGTGGCATCAAACTCAGACGCCTCAGGAAGCAGCAGGGAGACGTGTGGAGGGAGACTGGAACCCAGTGCCCTCAAGTCACAAATTCAAAAGGGGTCTTTTTTTCAGTTTTATTGAAACATAATGGACACATAACATTGTACAAGTTTAAGGTGTGTGATGTATCAATTTGATACACAAATGCATCACAAAATGATCACCACAAAAGGATTACTTAACGCCTCCATCACCTCACGTATCACCGTGTGTGTGTGTGTGGCGGGATATTTAAGTTTTACTCTCTTAGCGCATTTCGGGTATACAATACAGCATTCACTACAGTCACCACGCTGTTTGTTAGGCCCCTATAATTTATTCATCTTATAACTGGAAGTGTAGGTTCTTTGACCAACATCCCCCATTTCAAACCACCATCCTATTCTCTGCTTCTATGTGTCTGGCTTTTTCAGATGCACATTTGTCTTTCTGTGTGTGACTTAATCTCTCAGCATACTGTCTTCCACGTTCACCCAGTGTCACAGGTGGCAGGATGTCCTTCTTTCTTGTGGCTCAGTATTCCACTATGTGCTTGCGCCACACTTTCTTCATCCAGTCACCCACAGCTGGACACTCGGGTTGCTTCCACGTCCTGGCCACTGTGAATAACGCTGCCGTGAACATGGGAGATGTCTCTTCTAGGAAACTCATTCCATTTCCTTTGGATAAATACCTAGAAGTGGAACTGCTGGGTCATATAATAATTTTAATTTTGTAAGGAGCCTCCACACTGTTGTCACAGTGGCTCCCTGCGCTTCGCACCCTCACAACACCTGTCATCTCTTGTCCTTTCATGATGGCCCTTCTCAGGGGTGTGAGGTGACATCCTGTTGTGGTGTAAATGACCAGTGAGGTTGAGCACCTTTCCATGGACCCGCTGGCCATCTGTACATCTTCTCTGGAAAAATGACTCTTCAGGTTCTGTGCCCGTCGTTTAACCCGATTGTTGGTTTGTTTGCTCTTGAGTTGCATGAGCTCCTCATACATTCACAAATTTTTAAGTCCTTTCTGATCAAACAGAACCCACGACTGACTCTCAGAGTGAAGCCTAGGGGTTCGTATTTGACTGCCAGGGTTGCGTGAGTGAAAGGATACAGCCACTCCATAAAAGAGCCAACCTTCACATCACTAGTTGACAGCACAGCATTTATCCCAAAACAGTGAAGTAGCTCCCAACAAGGAAACAGCTCAAAGCTGACACATTCCTCTTTAATTATTAAACCCTTAAAATCCACTCATTGAATTATTTTAGCCCCAAACTCTAGCACTGTCTCTGCTACACAGTAGGCAGAGAATTCAGTACTGGTTTGTTTACGTGGATGGATCTGGGCCCAAAGCCCTAAGTCCTCTTGCTGGACTTCTGGCCCTGGTGGCACTCATGCCCTGTTGCCATGCACAGTTTCTACCTGCCTGAGTTCCCCACTTCCCTAAGCACACAGCTAGTTCTAAAACAGTCAGAGCCACTGTGCAGACACAGCAAGATGCCAGAAAGCCTTATCCCAAGACTGTTCTTGGGGGCCTGATTGTGCCGCAGTGGTTCACAAATGTTATGTCATGTCGGAACTGCCGGTGAAATGCAGATTGCTGGGTTTCCTCCCAGTTCCTGCATCAGTAGAGCTGGATGGGACCGAGTCACTGGCATTTCTGACAAGTCTCCAGGTGATGATGCTTCTGCTGACCCCC